TAAGACTTTTGTACCTTCATATCTAACTAGTGCGAAAAATCGCTAGTGACTGTAAAGGTGTTATTCCATCTTAGCACAGAGTGCTTTTACTCTCATATTTATTTGGATAATGCACATGTTATTCGATATACGAAAACGAAAGTTTCCAGTAGCATTATGTAAGTAACAACGGCGATAATATTCTTAGTAAAAAGTCTAATGCTTTCTGAACTGTGAAAAAGGTACACTGCATGCAGTACTATTCATTTCCCTGCTGTTTTTCATCTTAGATCAGATATTGATAAACATATTTCTCGCTACGCAGACGCCAAAAGACATTCCCGTTATCATTAATATGGCAGCAGAATATAAACTGAACCCTTAAATCTTTTTGCAGGTGGCTCTGAACCCAACCAACACGGTGTTCGATGCCAAGCGTCTCATCGGTCGGAAGTTCGACGACTCAACTGTTCAGAATGACATGAAGCACTGGCCTTTCACTGTGATCAGCGACGGCGGCAAACCGAAGTTGAGAGTGGAATTCAAGGGAGAAAGCAAGACCTTCAACCCTGAGGAGATCTCGTCCATGGTGCTGACCAAGATGAAGGAGACAGCCGAAGCGTACTTGGGAAAGCCTGCCAAAGACGCCGTGATCACGGTGCCCGCCTACTTCAACGACTCCCAGCGACAAGCCACCAAGGACGCAGGAACCATCGCGGGCATCAACGTGCTCAGGATCATCAATGAACCCACAGCCGCCGCCATTGCTTACGGACTGGACAAGCAGAGCGTAGGAAAGGGAGAGCGAAACGTGTTGATCTTCGACCTGGGAGGCGGTACCTTCGACGTGTCCATCCTGAGCATCGACGACGGAGTGTTCGAGGTGAAGTCGACCGCAGGAGACACTCACTTGGGCGGCGAGGACTTCGATAACAGGATGGTTACTCATTTCGTTCAAGAGTTTCAGAGGAAATACAAGAAGGATCTCACTACCAACAAACGCGCACTTCGACGTCTCCGAACTGCCTGTGAACGAGCCAAGCGAACGCTATCTTCGTCCACACAAGCTAGTCTGGAAATCGACTCTCTCTTCGAAGGAATTGACTATTATACATCCATCACTCGTGCAAGATTCGAAGAACTTTGTTCGGACCTTTTCCGAGGAACTCTAGAACCAGTGGAGAAAGCTCTCCGAGACGCCAAGTTAGACAAGAGTAGTATCCACGATATCGTGCTGGTTGGAGGCTCAACACGCATCCCTAAGGTGCAAAAACTGCTTCAAGGTTTCTTCAACGGCAAGGAACTGAACAAGTCCATCAACCCAGACGAAGCTGTAGCTTACGGAGCTGCAGTTCAGGCAGCCATATTGCGAGGAGACCAGTCTGAAGCAGTGAAAGACATGCTACTTCTTGATGTGGCTCCCCTTTCACTGGGGATTGAAACAGCTGGCGGGGTCATGACGGCCCTCATCAAACGCAACACCACAATTCCCACCAAACATTCTCAGATCTTCACTACATATTCGGATAATCAGCCTGGAGTAATGATTCAAGTGTACGAGGGCGAGCGAACCATGACCAAAGACAACAACTTGCTTGGTAAGTTCGATCTGAGTGGCATCGCCCCAGCTCCACGCGGAGTTCCACAGATCGAAGTCACGTTCGACATCGACGCCAACGGCATCCTGAACGTAAGCGCGGTGGACAAGTCCACTGGGAAAGAGAACAGGATCACCATCAGCAACGACAAGGGGCGTCTCAGCAAGGAGGAAATCGAGAGGATGGTCAATGAGGCTGAAACCTATCGAGAGGAAGACGCCAAACAGCGAGAACGCATCGAGGCCAAGAACCGCCTTGAAGCA